TTGCTTACCAGCATCTGATTATCATGGCATTTGAAATGCAGCAGAACCTTTGTGAGTTGACCATCCACAGAACTGTCACAAACTGGTCAGCTTACAGAGGACCTAGGATAGAAGGACCTAGGATTACTGTACTGATAGAAACATGTGGTGCATTTCTGGTCTATGAAAATTAGATTAACTTAAGGAGGTGGTCAGTGTACAAGAGAAGGCCACCTATGGACATTTTACTGTAATACTATTTTAGTCTTGAGATAAGGATGGAAAATGAAGGTCTAAAGATTTTTAATATTTTAATTAGCAAATATTCTTGTCTATAATCATAATGCTTTTTGAAAATTGTAAATATATAAAATACTTTCAACAAATTTGGAAAATGGGCATTTAGATAGGTGATGGATAAAAAGGAAATAATTTGAGAAGTCGTATTTTATCTTTTCCTCGTGAGAAAACTTAAACAAATTTTTTTCTATCTCACAGTATGTATTTACCTTAAAATTTTTAATGTAAGAGATGTGCCATTAATAAAACCTAGTACCAACATTTGCCAACTTTGTTTTTAGTGAGTTAAGTATTTCATATGGAATAAGAGAAGCAAAAGGAACAAATTCCAAATATTCTGTAACCAGCCTGACCTCTACCAGGACACCATAGTCATATTTCCCTCCCTGAAATATTCTGTTGACGTTTCTAACGCAACATTACAAAAGCTAAACTAATTACCTACCTCTCTTCTTCCATTACCCTCTTTCCCTTGACACCCTAAGCCAAATGCCTTTCTTCTTATAACTTTCATTTTGGTTAATGAATTACCATTTACTCAGTCATTCATAATGAAAACTTTAGAATTATGCTTAACTTCTCTTCTTCCTCAACCTTTGTACCAAATTGATTGGGTCACTATCAGCTTTCTGTCAATGAAGACTAGAATTCACCTTGCTGCTACCATTGCTACTGCTTGGTATCTTCTTGGTATTAACTTTGGTGTATCTTCCATTGCAGTTTTATACATAGGTGGAATTTATTACATTTTTGAAATTCAGAACTGTTTTAAGAACTCTTCGTATTTTGCCACTATTCACTCCCTACCATGTTTTAGTTTTCCAATAGCCTTAACCAATATAGTTCTATAAGTCAAACCTATAACCATGTTACTGCACAAATACAAAATCTTTGGGGTGATATTTACAATTTTGAGCTTGCTTCTTCAGCTTGTCTGGTATATGCTTTAATTTTTTTTTTCATTGAGGCATTTTATTTCTAAGTATGTATTACATCTGTAGAAAAAGAATCCCAGGATCTCCCCCCCCCCCATATGCTGCTTCATAGTCTATGATGCCAGCTGAACTTGTCAGTATAATGAAACCAAACTGATAGGATGGGAGTGTATTTATTCAGTCATGTTGCTAGATCTTTTGAGTTGCAAAGAGGATCTGGGGCTTATCACTCCACACTTGCTTAAGCTATCTGTGAGGTTCACAACTATTTTGCCATCTCTGTGATTAGCAGTGATTTTAGATTCGCCAATGTAACCATGTTTCATTGTCACAGTTAGAAACCAGAGGGCAACCTTTGAGCATGATATAATGAAAACCTGGTGTTTGGCTCTCTTTTGGGCATTGGTGATGCTCTTGAAATCATCAATTAGGACATTCATGTATACCATTATGGTGGCACAAAAAGATAGTAAAAAGAGCTCCTCTGGTATATTCTTGATCTTTCCTGAACGCACATTCATTCATTTGTTCATTCAAAGGCAGTGGTTCTCAACCTTCCTAATGCTGCAACCCTTTAATACATAAAAAAACCCTTTCCTCATAAAAAAAAAAAATACAGTTCCTCATGTTGTGGTGACCCCCAACCATAATTGTTTTCCTTGCTACTTGATAACTGTAATTTTGTTACTGTTATAAATCATAAGTATCTGATATGAAGGGTGTATTTAGTCCACCCCTGTGAAAGGGTCGTTCAACCCCCAAAGGGGTCACAACCCACAGGTTGAGAAGTGCTGTTCAAAGGGTTCCTATGCCGGTCATGTGGTGTGGTGCTAGGTAGGTGCTTTGAGAATACAGAGGTAAATAAGAAAGTCAGCTGGGTGCTTTTAGAATGCCACACACATATTTTTTTGTCTTTGACCATGCTATTTCATCTGTCCTTTTACTTTTTATAGAGTTTCTATTAATCTTTTATATTTTGATCAAGTGGTATCTTCTTTCTAAAATATTTTGTGACATTTTTAGTGCTGCGCCTTTGTGTTTCAGTAATAATTTATATTCACACCTCTATTATAGTAATTACTGTGTTTATATATATGCACAAATATATATGTGTGTGTATATGTAGACATATATAACTTAGCATATCTTATACCTACTGCTTATACACATAGTTGATCTTTCCCACTAGGTAAATTTAAAAAATGGGAAGAGGGAGACGAAAGTGAAACATAGAAGTAAGGATTGAGGCAAAGAACAGGAAGGAAAATAGAAGCAGTATGAGCAGAGACACTGGAGCCAGACAGCTTCGAACCCTGATACTTCCACTTACCAGCTATGCACGCGGTTTAATATTTCTGTGTCTCAGAGTATCATGGACCATTGTAAAGATTTTTTTTTTTTATTGAATAGCAACTGTGTACATTAATGCACTTCTGGGGTACAGTGTGGGGTTTTCACAAACAATCCGAAACACTTCCATCAAACTGGTTAACATAGCCTTCACGTAATTTTCTTAGTTATTGTGTTAAAACATTCATATTCTACTCATAGAAAGATTCACTAGTACCCTTGTAAGATGAACCACAGAAGTGAACCCTCGACTCCTCCTCCTTCCACCCTTTCCCTCTCCCTCCCCCGCTTCCCCATATGACCATTGTAAAGATTAAATGAGTTAATACATTCAAAGTGCTTTGAGGGTGGGGAACATGTGACCTTGGGGCTACTTGTGGCCTTCTGGATCCTTGACTGGGCCCTTTTGACTGAATCAAAATTTTATAGAACAAATCCTTTTATTAAAAGGAGTGCAGCAGAGAAAGATGAAGCTTTTCTTGCCTCCTTTGATCCTTAAAAAAAAGAATAATCTTGAAATAGAAGGCCACAGGTTCCCCAGATTTTCAGGCTGCGTGATACCTAATCTTGTGTAGCCTCTTGAGGCATTAAATTTCTAAGTGTTTTGAGCCTGGGCTAGCAAGGGAACTCCTATACATATTTGCAAGTGATAGAATTTAGTATAGAAGTACAAGTTTTACTAGCCCTTTATCCCAGATTCTGTTTTGCTTCTGACCTTAGTAGATGTTGACATTAATTACTCACTTTTTACTTATCCTTCAGGCTTGATATAACTACTGCTTTTTTATCATACACCTTAGTTTCTTTTATTAAAACTGTGTTTTCTTCTCTGGCTGTGCTCCCGTCTGAGGACAACATGGGCAGTGGTGATATAAGTTCTTGGTTCTGGTAGCAGGGTCTGTCCCTCAGCACCAACCTGATTGCCAGCAGGCGCTTCTACCTTTCCTTCTCACCGTATTGCCTCTCCCTCACAGTGTCTCTCTCTGCTCTACCTCCTATGCAATGCCATTGACCCAGCTTTTTGAACTATAGTGTGGTATTCAGTTCTGTACTAGGTATACTAACTTTTTAAATAGTGAAATGCTAGGGGATTAAAGCACTCATCATTGACTAGTTGGTGATTTCACTTTTTTAACAAATGAATTAGTTACTAATTGCCATGGCTCTCCTGAGTAAAGAAAGATTCTTGAAGGAGATAACATTTCACTTGCCTCTTGAGTGATGGAAGAAGAAAGTAGGTTGTAGGTGGGGATGTTCGAAGCTCAGGATTCATTCTCAACTACTATATGAATATTATATGTGAGGCACTGGGGTTACAAATATTTAGTTTCTTTTCAACTCCAAATGATTGGTATAGTGACAAATAATGTAAAAATGGAAAGGAAAGAGAGATTGCTATGGATTGGAGAAGTTGGAGAAGATTTGTCTGTTCTCACTCTACAAAACCTTTCTGGGTAATTTCATGTATTTTCTTGAACCAAATTCTCTCAAGAATCTGGTAGTTCATCATAACAAAATTCATTCAGTTTATGGAACATAGAGTGATCTATTCTCTGTGGGTCTTTGTTCACATCCTTTCTGCCTGGAATAATTCTTACTGTTTCTTAAAATATAACCATAGGGGCCATAACTTTCAGAAGAGTTTAGTTGACGCTTCAGCACTTGATTAAGTGTTCCTGTGGTTCTCATAGTTCCCGTTCTTCTCCAATAATAGCCTTTTTTACACTGTATTATAACTGTCTTCACCAAATTGTTCAAGGAAAACAGAAACTGGTTAAGTAAGAATGCCTGGCATATAGATGCTTCATATATATTTATTGGTTGAATGATGAATAGGATGTGGTAGAACAGTTGGTCATTGTAGGCAAGGAGAGGAGGATGAATAAAAACAAGGAGTGTGGTATTGAATATTGCTGATTCTGGGCTAATGAGTAGAACCATTTGACAGGAATGTTATATTGAAAAGAGAGGTTGGAGCATTAAATGGCCAGATTAGGGAGTCCAGAGTTTATTTAATAAGAAAGGGCCAGTGAACTTTTAGAGAGAATAATACATGTTCCCATCAATTTGATTAAGTAATATGCCCATGAAGGGAATTAATTTTTTTCTAATTCTTGTGTTAAAAATCTTTGTAATACTCGTCAGTGGATTAAACATATAACTGTCTATTTTGTATACTACTGTTTCTTTAAAGATTGTTCCAACATAATTTATAAGGAAACTTTTAGAAAACTTAAATGAATGCTATTGAATAAATTGAACAGTTGTCATTGAACTTTGCAGTTTGTTTTTCTTATAAACCAAACTATTTTAAACTATGATAATTTAGAAATATAATTCAAATAAAGTAGTAATGTAACTTATTTATGGGGTTTCCTTCTTTTTTGTCACTTAAGAGAAAATAAATGCTTACAGCTGTGACTTTTTTTTCTCTAGTATCTCCAGAGGCAGTTGGATTTTTGTCAGCTGTTGGGGTGTTTATTATCTTGATGCTGCTCCTTTTTCTCTATATTAATAAGAAGTTCTGTTTTGAAAATGTTGGCGGGTTTCCAGATCTTGGTTCAGAGTACAGTACAAGGAAGAATTCACAAGATAAAATTTGTGAGTATCATATTGCTGCTTCCCTTGTTTGTTCTTTTCACCTGTACTGTTTATTTATCTATTGTAATGCATACAACAAAGAGGTTGATTTTGACATAGTAAACTTAACATTTGTAAGAGTAAAGGATCTAGGTTTAAGTAAATTATGTTCAGGTATCTGTTTGTTGCCCACAAATTGCTAAGATATTACAAAAATTGTCACAAAATGACATTTTAATTTTTCATGTACAAGGTATGCTTTTGAACCTATTATATAAGCAGATCTGTTTTAGGAAGAAGGAAATGTGTTTATGAGGTATGTAGCTTAAATCCATTGTCCAGAGAGCTCCCTAGAGAGTTTCGTCCCAATATCTCTAGAGGACTTTTGAAAGTATTCACCCCTTTCCTCTACCTGCTATTTAATTTTTAGCTGAAGGATAATTTTATTGTTTGGAAGAGGCGGTTTTACCTAGTAATGTATATATAAATGCTGATTATAAAAAATAGGATTCTACTCCCTCTGTTGGCACCATATATTATTGAGTATTACTAGGTACTAGGAAAGATGAAGGTGTGATATCTTTTCTCTTATAGAAATGTTTTTCTTAGAGTTATTTAAAAAAATTATTCCAAGAATTTTTTATTTGCTATTTTCAAAAACTGGCTTATATAAATAATAGTAGGATCAAGTTGAGGATTATAAAAGAAAAGTTTTAATTTAGAAGAATTTTATGTGAAGCCCCAGTAGCCTAATGGCTAAGGCACTTAGACTCCTAATTTGGAAGAATTTTCAGGAACAATAGCTGAGAAATTTTGCCTTCTTTGGCTGTGTATGCATGTTATAGAGATGCTTTTCTGATAACCTAAAAGTGATAGCTCCGTTCCTTAAAGGTTTTGTTATTGAATTATATTTTGTGACTTTTGCATTAGGAAATTATAGTGCTCTATATGGTTTTTATTTGGTTAAGTTCAGTGTTTCTCATACTCTAGTCTTGCTTTTTGATCATTTGTATGAAATGAACTGCTTAATGATATATTTTTCTAGTGGCCTTCAGTAATTCTCTAGTTCAATGTTTATGCATTTTCTTTGGCTTAATAACCCCTTTACAGTATTAAAAATCATTAAAGACCCCCCCAAAACTTTTGTTTATGTGTGTTGTATATATTTATATGGACCATGTTAGAAATTAAAATGGAAAAATTTTAAACTATTTTTATCACTTTATTTTTTTAAGAAAGCATGTTAATAGAAATAACGTGTTTATAATTTTAAAAAACTATGTATTTTCCAAAGCAAAAAATAGTTTACAAAAAAAAAAAATGAGAAGAGTGACATTGTTTTACACTTGTTGCAAATCTCTTTAATGACAGGATAATAGCAGACAGCTTGATTCTCATGTAGGATCTTACATTCAATCTGTCAGGTATCCTCTAGAAACTCCAATGTTGTGAAAAAATGAGAATCTAAAAGTTAAATATCCCTTTACTATGATTATAAAACTATTTTGACTGAAAATCTCTTGAAAAGATCTCAGGAAACTTCTTAATTTTTCTGAGCCTGTCCTGTCAGTTATTAGATAGGAATAATACTATTTCCCAGAGTTCCTGTAAGATCAAGTAGGATGATCACAGTGTCTCACCAGCCCCTCTGCAGGTGTCCGTACCTGCTCTTCCCATTCTTACCTCTGTGCAAAATTATGTAGATATTTTCCCCGTAATATTTTTCTTAATTTGAAATGATAATGGTAGTTTGTTAATAAGATAGTTTCCTTATGTAGACTATTAAGAAATAAGCTAAAAGTACATAATAAAAATTCTTTTTGTACTTCTTCTTTCAGGTGTAGAATAAAAAGCCAATAGTAGTTGAGGGGAAAATATTGTCTTGCTGCTGTTATGATAGCTGTGGAGTGGGAAAAAAATGTCATTTCATTTAAGCCAAGTGGTTTGATTTCATTTTTTTTGGAAGACTTTTTTACTTCAGCATATTTTTTTCCAACTCATAATGCATTTACAGAAAGATTAAAAGCTACGATGTGAACTGCTATTGAGCTGATGAATAGCAACACTTAAGTAAAGGATAAATTCGAGTTCCAAAGTGGTTCATATTTTGAGAAGAGAAAATTCTGCTATCGTACCTCATAGGAACAAAAAATTAGACAATGGCATTTTTCAAAAATTTTCAGCACAATCTACCTTCAGTGTCCTCTCTGGTAGACACAATCAGTAGTGCTGTTGAAGATTTGACCACTGCTGTTGGGGAGGTCAGCTGTGCTTTAACCGACTCAGTTGCTGAGCAAGTAACAAGCATGATAAATGGCTTTCGCCCAGAAGAGGAAAACTCTACAACAGAAGAAGCTGTAGATACTAATAAACAAAAAAATGCAGTGTTAACAGAAGGCTCCCAAAACAGTAATTGTCAGAAAACACAATCTGATTTAGAACATAGAGAAAAACAAATAAATTCTTACAATACTTTATCTCCACAAAAGCAAGATCAAGGAATGCGTGAAGAAAGAGTATTTAAACATACTAATTATAAGAAGCAGACTCTATCAGACTATCAAAAAATAGGTAATACCAGTGATTGTTCTTTGAAAGGTCACATGAGTAATAGTGGGATATCAGTTATCAAACAGAATGCAAGAGCTGGATATACTTCCCAAGAACTTGAAAGTACTGACGTATGTGAAAATACTGGATTAGGAGTCTCCAGTAATAGTAAGAAAACTTTAAAGGAGGTAAGATACCAAGAAATGAAAGGAAATCAGAAGAATTCCAATGGAATAAACATATATGAGCAAAAGAAATGTATTGGGACAGATAATGATAAACTAGAAGAAGGTAGTAAATCTCAACATGTATTGTGGGAAGGAGAGCAAGAGAAAATGGGGAACGTCAATAAATATAAACATCTTACTCATTTAGAGCATTCTGATCATTTAAAGAAAGCTGGAAAAAATATTAAGAGTAAAGGATTTACAGGGAATGAATGTTCAGGAAATGAATGTTCTACAAAAGATACTTTGAGAAGCAATAGACGAGTGATGCAGAAATCCTTTATGAAAGAAGATGCACATCTAGTGCTGTCAACTAATTCTAAAGATAAGTTACCTGGAAAGATCAAGAAACAAATAAATCCAGCAAAATTCTACAAAGTTAAAAGAGATATAGAAACAAAGAGAAATGACGCCATTTCTGCCAAGAAAAAAGCAGCAAAGAGTAAAGATGAAAAATATTGTAAGATAATACCAGAAAAAGGTGAGGTCTCCCAATGTTGGTTTGAATGACTAAATTTTCTCATGTTCAAATTAGTAAAACATCATACACATTTCTCAACTTTCCTATACATGTCTGTATAGCTAATGTAAGACTTTCTTGAATCCTGTTACTAGGAGGCATTTTTAAAGTCATTCAGTATTTTTTTCTAAAATTATTTTAGGAGCATTTGTACAGCACTATTTCTCCCAATCCCTGCATTATTTGGCCTGCTTTTCAGCAGCATTAACATTTTTTAATGTTCATTTATTTTATAACCCAAAACTCTATGGTTTTCTTAAGTAATATGCATATTTTTTGTTGGAATTTATTTGGTATTATAAGATCAAGGAGCAACTTTTAAGTAAAAAACAAATTCAGGTTTCAAAGTGGTTGATATTTTGACAAGAGAAAATTCTACTATCATACCTTTGAGAAACAAAGAATTAGTTGCATTTTAAGGTGTGTGCATGTGCGCGCGTGTGTGTGTGTGTGTGTGTGTGTATTTTTTTTTTAAAAGAGATGCTAGTCTCACTCTGCCACCCAGGCTGGAGTGCAGTGGCATGACCATAGCTTCCTACAGCTCAGACTCCTGGGCTCAAGCAGTTATCCCACCTCAGCCTTCTGAATAGCTGGGACTATATGTACACATCACCATGTCTAGCTAATTTTTAAATTTTTTTGTAGCAATGGGATCTTGCTGTGTTGACTAGGCTGGTCTCAAACTCCTGACCTCAAGTGATCCTCTTGCTTGGGCTCCCCAAAGTGCTAGGATTATAAGCATGAGCCACTGCACCCAGCCGTATTTTATATTTTTATAACTAATTTCTTCTTACAATGTTGCTTTTCAGATCTGTCCTTTTAAGATCTATATTAAAGGCTTTATATTTTTCCTGGAGAGCAATAGATTTTATTTTATTGGGTAACATGTTTCAGGATATTCTTTAGTTAGCCAGGTATTGAAAATTTTATGACTGCTCTATTTACAGTGCGTATATGTGTACATAAACAATGTACTAGCATTCATAAGTTCTCTATATAGAACTAAGATTCTGACTAAGCATTTATAGCTTTCAGACATAATATTTATGAATGTATTCTTTTCTGAATGTATTTATCTTTGTTCGTTCTTTATGAGGTTTTTGTTTCTAGACTTTATCTTAAACATTGTTATTGTTATTAAATTTTAAGCCTTTTTAATTTTGTGAAGGCAAAAAGTGGAAACCAAATAAACACATGTATATATAGAGATAAAATAAATACTTCAGGCCAGTGTAATGTCTGACTTTGCCATCACATTATTAAAAAATATCTGTTGGCTCGGTGCCTATAGCTCAACCGGCTAAGGCGCCAGCCACGTACACCTAAGATGGCGGGTTCGAATCCCCAGCCCGGACCCGCCAAACAACGATGACGGCTGCAACCAAAAAATAGCCGGGCGTTGTGGAGG